GCTTGTTATTAAGCTAATGAGGTAACCACAGGTGTGGATTTCAACGTTTATATTCACATATGTGAACCTCCGTATGCTTACATTGAGGTAAGCAATCCTGCATAAAGGCTACTGTGATAAAAAAACATTTATGATTTTTAAGGAGCTTAAAAGTAAGCACGTTTGTAACTTAAGCATGTTAAAAAGTTAATGGGATTGACTGCATACTCAGCATTTCAGGGCTACTTAGTGAGGTGTTTACCTATCCATTTAGGAAGTCTAAATTAAGGCTCCTGTTCCCAAATTTTAAAACTTTCCTTGTTAATCAAAACTTATTACTAAACTAAATTTTATATTTGGGTAACGAGTAATTGCAAATCTTTCTCAATATATGCATTTAATTGATCTGATGATTCTGTGAAATCTTAGGGAATAGTTCATTGATGATGTGTATTCTGTGATCTGTGGTCTGCAGTCTAGAAAAATAAGGTAGTATATTAAAGTAGCAAATGTTTCAGTAGATAACACGATGTTTTTGGTACACAGAAAAATGGACAAGTTCACAAATGTGAAAGAAGCGTAGATTTTTCTTGAGATCTCTTACAAAATTAGTCAACTGATATGGTGTGATATATACTTCCAACACAGGTTTCACACGTTCAGTTTGATTTCTTAAAAAATAGTGCAAAGAATCAGTTGGCAACACAGAAACAGCTGAACAACAACCTCTCTGGAGTCAGAAGATGAAATCTGAAATAATGCCAGGAAAGACTCACTACACTCATTAGAGAATCCTGAAGTGGTTGACATAACTGTAAAACCTCTGAGTGAAATTTCGTATCAAGTTCCTAAAGCAGATGACGCAGAGGAAAGCCATAAAATGACTGAAAATTCATCAAAAGGTGATTTGCCTGAAAAAAGGTATGAATGTGAATTCTCAGCTGAGATGGATGCTGCCACGGTGCCTCAAGGTGTCTCTGAAACAGATGGGAGAAAATATGAATTACTGACATCAGCCGAAAAGAAAACTGAAGAACTAAACCGCATCCTTGCAGAAGATGTTGATGAAAGTGCCAGAGCAGACATCTTAGCATCATCACTAGATCCTGAAAATGGATCACCATATAGACTGCCTGAAAAAAAATACAGGGATTCCACACTTACACTGAATAATAAAGGATTAAGAGATATTTCTCTGCTCACTTTCCAAAACCAAAATTTAAAATATTTAAACTTCTGCAACAATGAAATAAAATCACTGCACTCAAATATAGGTAATCTAATCAATCTGGAAGTCCTATTAGTTGAAAAAAATAAATTGACATCACTGCCACCAGAACTCTCCTTACTTCATAAACTAACAATATTAAATGTCAGTCATAACCAGTTGTCATGTCTCCCTAAAGAATTATCAAAACTTGTAAATATTAAGGAACTCTTCCTCAATCACAACAACATTGCTGAGTTTCCTTTTGCACTAGAAAGCCTTGGAACTTTAGAACTTGCTGGGAACAAGCTACAAACTTTGCCAGATACCATGGCTGACATGAGAAATTTGAAGGTACTCAACATTGATTCTAATCAGATCTTAATATTCCCGAAGGTTGTCTGCTACCTTCCTAATCTAGTAAAACTGAGTATATGTGAGAATTTGATCCAGAGCTTACCAAAGGACATTAAAGAGCTCCAGAAGCTACAAGAATTTTCAATCAGTAGCAATAAGCTTATATTTTTGCCTGTGCAGCTTTTTCAGTTGACAAAACTAAGAGAGCTCAGAGTTGATGATAACAAACTAGAGTTTCTTTCAGATAAAGTTGAGAACTTAAAAGAGCTGAGATTTCTAAACCTTGCAAAAAATCTATTCAAAAATATTACAGACAATCTTTGCAACTGTACCATGTTGAAACATCTCATTCTACATGACAATCAGTTAACCCAGCTCCCTGCTAACATTCACAAACTTAAACACTTAAAGGAGTTTTCTGTAAGTAGAAACCAACTGGACTCCCTGGATGAACAAATATCCTATTTTAAAGACCTCTCCATAATAGACCTTTCTGGAAATGCGTTGACATACGTTCCTGTTGAATTTAAAAACTGTATGTGGGTAACCAAAGCTGACCTCAGCAACAATAAGATCTCCCAATTTCCACATGCGTTGTGTGCACTGTTCAATCTTAAGCACTTAAACCTTAGTGGAAATTGTATTTCGGAAATAATACCTGGAATTGTTTACATTAAAAATTTGGAGTATCTACACTTGAACAAAAATAAACTGTCCTCTTTTTCTGCCTCATTGTGCAGCCTTGAAAAACTGATTTACTTGGATGTCAGTGAGAATGAAATCAGTAGCATGCCAGCAATGGTGTCTGAGATGAAGGCTCTCCAGGTGCTTCTTTTACACTGCAATAAATTTGACTTATTTCCTGCAGAACTGTGCTCCTTAAAGAGTTTACAAATACTCAACCTTGCAAATAATCAGATTAAGAGCATTCCTTTACAGATTAGTAATCTAGAAGCGATTAAAGAACTAAATGTATCCAACAACCAGTTTGCAGCTTTCCCTTCTGAAATATGTCATCTTTCATCACTGGAGAAATTGTCAGTATGTCAGATGAGTGGCTTGAAGGTAAGAGAACGTTTCCGTGTAGGTAAGGAAAACTTGCGTTGCACATACTGTTATGCTGCAAAATTACTAGTAATAGACTGTCTCCTAACAGATGTAAAAGCTCTTGTGTTTGAATACACCTACAGTAAACAGCAGAAAAAACATAGTTTGTAAAAATGCAAATCTGTATATGGAATTTTTAATATAAAACGGGACAAAAATATTAGGATTTTTAAAGACTTGCAAACTTATTAAGAAATACTAGATATGAACATCATTTTATATAATGTTACTTAGGTATAACTTGAGGCAATATTTGGATAATCAGATTGGTCTGAAACAGACCATAGTTTCCTTTCCTTTAGTATTATTATTATGAAATTATGTATTTCCTGTCCTTACGGATATTGAGAGACAAATTGGCTAGCAGCAGTTTGGTAGATTAGCCTGCCTCTAGCATTCCTGTCTGTGACATGAACACCACCTTCCAAAGAAATCGTGTCAATCTTATTAAAATTAGACAGATAATTTTACTAATTCTAACAAGAAAAGCTAGATTGGATCTTCCATTTCTTATAGCAAAAGAAATTGCTTCACATTGCTAAAATCCAGTGGAGGAAAATGTTTGTTTTCTTATACTTAGGAACAAGGAAGGTGTTGTGCCAAGGAAATCTAAGCGTCTCTAAATTCTGTTGTGATTACAAAGTCAGATAAGCAGCTGTCATGGGGAAAAAAAAAAGATACTGTACTGTCAGGGTCAGTTGAAAGAAGAGAAAATATTCTTTCTGAAGCAAGTGCTAGTACCATCTTTGGCTCACTTAAAAAAAAATCAGGCTAAAAGGCTTTTGAATTTCTCTTTTTTAACCAGAATTTGCAAAATCAGTATTTCATGTCTGGGTTCATAAATGACTTATATTGCTCTGTGTGATTTCAAAGGTGGATACGATCCCTTTCAGGAACCTCCTTCCTTCAGACCCAGCAGCAAATACATTAGGTTCATTTCTCAGGGAGCTGTAGCTCTAGTTTCCATGACATCTGATTAATGTGAGAACAGTTGGAGTTGCTAGAAGGGAAATAGAAAAGACCAAGAAGAGAACAGAACCAAATAGAAGAAAAAAATCATTTTCTTGTATCTGAAAAGACCCATAAAATTAAATTTGAGTGTTCTCCTGAAAGGGGATTTTGTTTTGAGATTCATCAGTGATAACAAGGACCAAAAACAAGTCTCCTGAGGTTCCAGCTATAGAGACATTGGTCCACTGCTGTATCGTTTTTATTGCTATTCTATTATTTTGTCTAGAAAAAATCCTTGCAAAATTCTATACTCAGCATGAACATTTTTATCATGAAATAATAAATGAATTTTCCCCAGAGTAGAATGTCATCATCTTTTGTTTTTGGATAAAAATAATGGAGGCTGTTTTGCCTGCAGGAAAGAATACCTTTTTAACTTTTTACAGAAAAGAAATAGTTGTATCAACATACATGAATAATGCAGCAATTGTTTTATTTCTTTATTAGTTAACACAGCTTCCAGATGAGATATCTAAATTGGTTTGCCTCAGAGAGCTTGACATATCTCATAATGCATTAAAGGAAATTCCAGATGGCATAGGAGAACTGGAACGTTTGGCCCATCTAATTGCAAATAACAATGATATCAGCCAGCTCCCCAAATCTATTACTTTCCTAAGAAATCTACAGCAACTTGATCTGAGTGGTAAGTATCAGACATTGGATCCCTTAGTAAAATCTAAGCATGAGCTATGCCCCTGACAAGTATGAATGTATTGCAGGAGAAAATGATAATGAAAAAAGGACAGAGGAAAATGCAGCTTTCCAGTTTTGAATGTAGCCCAATGCCAACCCCAACTTCTACAAGCTTCTCACTTTCCCACTATAGAAGCCTGTGAGGTCAGTGCTATAGGCTATGAACTCAACCAGTGAGAAGATTCCTGTTATCTTTATTGATCTTTCAGTCAAATCCTGAAACAGTAAGTTCCTTGAGGCAAAAACTGTCTTCCCTTCCTTATACAATGCCAAGTTCATTACCAAATTAAAAACAGACAAACAAACAAAAACCTCACTTCACCAGATATGTCGCCATCTTCTTTAGGATAATGTGATGCAGATGTAATTAAGCATTTCTTTGTATTTTCCCAGAAAATTGTCTGTTGTCTTTGCCTGCTGATCTTCACAATCTTCGTTTGCTTACTGACATAAACTTTGATGGAAATGCTCTGTTTGAACCGCTGCGAGAGGTGTGTAAAGGGAAGCAGCTACATCCCATTCTGTGCTACCTGGAAAGTGCTCGTGAAAGAGACGGTATGTTAAGAACAGGCATAGTATTAGATATAGAACAAGTATGTTATTAGATATTTTGATGCATTAAAGGTAGCTACTGTGGTACGTTAAGAACAGACATAGTATTAGATATATAATTAAGAACAAGTATGTTATTAGGTATTTTGATGCATTAAAGGTAGCTACTGCAGGAGCTGTTGAAAATCCATTTTGTTAATTTTCATTGTATTGATTCTGTTTCTTTTCCTCACAGATTTTGGTTAGTGTCAGCGGTGTTTAAATTATGGTTAGTGTTCATGTACTTACTTGGTAGGTAACAGATTGCCTGAGGAACCAACAAGGATGTATGTACATCCTGATTGTACAGGGGTTTGCATGTAGAGACATAGGCTTACTGTAAATTGTAATTTATAACTATAAATTACTGTAACTGTAATTGATAAAATTGTAATTGAGAGCTAAGATGATTATTCTGTTGCAATAGTACTTCTTTTCACAGAAATTGAAGTTGACAGCCAAAACCAAAATTGAGGTCTCAGAACTGTGTTCATATCAGAAAATGAAACAGACACAAATAAATGATATCTCAGCTCTGCTCATCCAGAGGTGTCATCTGCACTGACAGTAGAACAGCATCTCACTTCTTTTTAAGCTCCCTTGCTTTTTTTCAGGTCTTGAGAACACCAAATCAAAGCATCTACCTATATCATGGCTTCTCTATGGCCTTGCTATGCTCCTACAGCTCCCACAATGAAAAAGAACCCAACTTTTTTTTCTTCCTGGTATTTCCCTCACTCAAACATCCTGAATTGCCTAGTATTCTTATATTAATATATGATCTCATCTGAATGTTCTATTGTCCTTACTCTAGCAAAACCCATTAATCCCAACAGCACTGGCTCATTATCCTCCTATCTGCACAGCTCAGTACAGCATCTCATGTGGCATCTCACACCCATTCTTTTTCCAGGTTTAAGCTTCTAGTATTGCCTGCATCCTGTGCCATCCTTCCACTTTAGGCTGCCTCTCTAGCTGCTGTGCCAGAGTCCTGGCAAAATTACAGAAATAACTTAATACTTCTCTTGACACCAGTGCCTAACTTTACTGGTAAAAATTTGCCAAAACAGAAAATACTGGCCAATATGGTCACTCAAATGCTTTTAAAAAAGAACTCACAACTAATAACCCAGACAACTGTGACCAGTCACAAATGATAAAAGAGAGAAAACCTAAAAAACAAGAGAAGACACAAGAGGATATAGCTGTTAAAAAGCAACTAGAGAAATAACTGAGGTGGACATGTTTCCAAAGCCTAAAGCCTGATGGCTCATCCAGGATGGAGACTACAGTAGTAGTTGTACTCTTCAGGAACCCCAGGCAAGCTCATGCTGAAGCACTGGAAGGAATTGTTTATGTTTGCTTTCCAGCTTCCTTGTGCATCTCAGCACATTATTCCACTGTATTCCAGTGTATTCCAGGGTCTGGGATGGTGTAGTGAAAGCCGTCCATGGCACTGTCCATGGAATTTAGGGAGGCACAGATAAAAAAGTATGCGAGTTCTTGATAGTGTCTGGAGAGAGAGACTGCACTGTATTTTTTGCCAGTGCTTGCTCTCTCCAAACACCTACTTCCCTAGAAGGAAGGGACTCTTCTTCCACAGATGATGTCTATTTGGAGAAGGTGGCATATCAGCTACTGGAGGTGTCCCAAAGCTCAGGGGATGTGGCATTGTCTCTAGTGATGAAATTCTACCTTCACTTGTAGCTGAGATCACAGAGGATCTTGCAAGCAAAGGCAGCATCAGAAATTTTATAATTTGTGCAGGAAAGGAGGCTACAATAATGGCATTTTCCTGCTGTGTCCTCGTAGCCATCTCTAAGCAGTAAGCTCATTAAGAAAACTGTGCTGCTTCGTGCGCTAACCAAGGAGGTGGAGGTGACCATGGAGATCCACAGTGAAGTGTTATCCCTAACCCCTGCACACACTGCACCTCCGGTGTAGTGCACATCCCATGTGTACTCCATGTCTGGAGTGCTCTGTGCTGATCACTGCAGCTACCCAGCCCCTCTGCAGCTCCCAGGAGGTCCTGCTGCAGGAAAAGCCTGTGCACATTCCTGCCATCTGGAAATGAGGTGGTCTTGATGTAGTATGCCATGGATAGAGCATTCCAAAAGGGATTGTCTGGATTTTACTGCCGTTATTATCCCTGGCTCTGGAGATTGCCCACATGAAGGAGCAACTGGTGCCTATATCATGCAAACTCCACAGTGATTTTGCTGAGCCCGGAGTAAGTCCTTTTGTAGCTTGATGAAGAGGATTGCAGCTGCTGTTTCACCAGCCTGTGCAGTGTAAATGTAATAAACTCGAATCCTGCCACTTGTAACACTTACTTTGAGAGAGACGGATTTGTGTTCTTAGCATGTATGAGCTCTTCAGGTATATGTAGTTGCTTTGATCTTGTGCCCCTTGACTGGAATTGAGCTGAATCATGATATGTTTTCAAGATAGTTCCTCCCTACCCCGCTATTTCTGTAATGTGTGATGGGGGGAGGGGGGCGTCCAGAAGAACAGCCTGTGCTTCCTCACTCTGCTGTCTCCAGCAAATGGAGCTTGGAGCTGTGCGGCTTCAACCTCAAGAAAATGCAAACCCCCAGAATGTGGCAGTGCTGAGACCAGAGACTTGCCTTTGCACCAGAGACTGCCCTTGGGTTGGGAGCCAGGGCTCCCGCAGATGAGGAGCGATCCATCTCCTCCCCAACAGGCTTGTCAGGGAGGGGAGAGGATGATGCCAGGATGGGGACCACCTTAGAAAATGGTATTTGGAAACATCTGTTACACAAGATACACTATGTAATTTAAGCAAGGATACTACTTTTTATGTTTCTATTTAGAGAAACTTTTGCAGGAGATAATGGAAGTGATTGCTGACAATATTCCTTCTGAAAATTTTAAATTCTTCTGCCAGAAATTGCAACTGCGTCGTGCTGACATCAAGTCTCTTGAAGAGAGCAGGTTAGATACAAATTCTTGTAACAGAATCTTGTTAATTTTATTTCCCAATTTTCTTTCCTTTCTATTTTGTGAAATTAACAATGTCTTAATTATGAAGTTAATGTGTATTTTTGTTAAATACGGGAGGTATGTAAAATTAGGTATCTCCAAATCTTAGATTTTTTCAGACATTTCCTCTTTATAACTCTTTTCCTATCAGGACTGATCAACTGCAGGAGAAAATCATCACAGCACTGAACATCTGGAGAGGTGAAAACCAAGCCCTAACTTCTGCGGAAATGATAGATAAGTTGATCAGAATCCTCGTAATGACAGGCATGCATTATCTCACCAACAAAGTGACAGCTTTAAAACTCTATTCACAAATAATAAAATTATAAGTATGTAGTGTACAGAGGGCACTTAGGACAGGAATGAAAGTTTGTGGTATCATTCTTTTCTTTTATTCCATCAAAGTATTATCACTTTGACATTGCGTATCTGGACAAAAGCTCAGGCTGTTTCTACAAAGCAGCTCAGAATCCTGTATTTGTCTTTTAGAAAATGAATGTATAAAGAAAAATCAAAAGATACACCTTTTTTCATTTCCAACATGAGGTAATTTTAGTATCTTTAAAAATATATGAAGTGTTGTAAAATTGGCAGTGATCTGTTACATCAGATTGCTTTGTTGTGATATTCCCGGTTTAAATTCCATCTCATGTAGAGAAGGCAGCGTGAAGCTCTCCAGGGTTGCGTGGGAGGCTTTCTGCAAGCACACGCTGAGCGCCCGCAGGGTGTTACCTTCCTAGCTTGCCTGAACAGCGTGTGAACGTCACCAAGAAACGGCCCTTTTCCTAGTAATTGCAGAACGTGGGAGAAATGTTTAGAAAGCAGGAACTTCTTGTCGGCTGCGATACAGAAGGTGGCACTACGGGCGGCACCTGCACTGCAGGGCATGAGTGCGGGCTCGGCCCTGTCCCCGCTGCCGGCGTGGCTGGTGCCGGCTCTGCTCTGGGCTGTGCCAAGGCCGCCGCGCTGTG